CCTGCACCCCCCTTTGTGAGGGTGAGCTGCCATCAGAAGGTGACTCTGCTCATGCTGCTGTAGAATACACACAGACACCTGAAGAGAGGTACTTTAATTTTACTGATTTACGAATTTTAAAACCTAAAGATGATGAGTTTTAAAACCTTTGTCCAGAAAAGCTGTGGCTGCCCCTGGATCCCTGGCACTGTCCCAGGCCAGGCTGGACACTGGGGCTTGGAGCAGCCTGGGACAGTGGAAGGTGTCCCTGCCCATGGATGATCTTTAAGGTCCCTTCCATCCCAAGCCATTCCATGATTCCCTGATTCTGTAGTCCTAAAGTAGTTGCTGTTTCAGTGAAAACATTCAGCTAAAAAGTGTTCCAGAATCCCATAGAACTTAAAGCTGGAGAAGGGGATCTGTGACTTCTTTGGGAACAGGACAGATACAATGCTGATCACAATTAATTTATCCGTGTTTTAGTACATTTGTTGTGATTTAGTACATAGGAACCTGCAGGTGCCCAGAAAGGGAAGGGATATATTGGACTTTTATGTTGCAATCATAATCTACTGTTAATTTTCTGCTGTGATTTTACAGTGAACCCGAGTTGTTGTACAGAGCAGAACTCAGTACAGTTTGGCCGTTTTTTCCCCTTATCATTCTCATTAATTATTCCTTAGATAGATCATCACCTATGTTGGTCACAAGAGCAGCAGTGAATTTGGGTGTGTTCAGCTTTCAAACGGGTGCTAATTTGGACATTAAACACGGGATTTCCCTGGTAACAAAGCACGCTGCATGTGCTGGGTGCTGGCAGAACAATGATTCTGAAATTCCTCAGCTTTGTCCCTCTGGGAAGCTGTCAGTCACTGAGCACCCTGGCAGATTTATTAATCTAATTCCAATTGGGTTGATTGTACTTCACATTTCACTGTGCAGTGTTTGAAATAAAACACCAGATCTGTGTCTTTGAGGAATCTTTTGCTCAGTTTGTCTTACACCAAACCTCATCACCGGTTGCCTCTACATAGTTCTGATGTCTAAATCCATTATATTCCAGTATGTTAATGACTCCAATTTCATGGTGAGTACCTCAGGATAATTTTCCTAGTAAATAAATTAAAAAAAAAATGGTTTCTAAGTAAGTATTTATATTTTATGTTGCTAGCAACAGGCCTGCCTGTGTTCACCGAAGGTCAGTGACCTGAATTATGTTCAGCTCTGCCAGCAGTGTGTGTAGTCATGAGAAATGCAGGGGTTTCTCTGTATTCCATTAGTGTGACTTTAAAAATTACAAAATAATCTTTTCACGGAGGAAAAACTTGAACCTGGCTTTGCAAAAAGATTCCATATTGAATCTTACAATACAGTGATCCTGAATAAGGAAAATAAGTCCCTGTATGTAGGGTTTTAATTAGTAAAATGTAAAAAGTATACTCCTCCCCAGCAGACTTCTCTTTTAATTAAATTTTCATGTTAATAATGGTTTTTTCACTTTAACTTTTAGGGGTTTAAAAATCTGATTGCTCTGAACCCAACTTTGATCTGCACTGAACCTATTGATATGTGCTGGGTATTGAGTTTTGCAGGAAGGGATGGATGCTCCTAAGGAATACAGGGAATAAAACTTTAATTTTCCAAGAGGCCAGCAGGGAAAGCAGGCCTGGGATGTGAGGAGGAAGTTTTGTTATTCAGTGTCCCCATCTCCATCATGCTGTGGATGGAACCTGGGATGGAACGTGCTCAGCATCCTCGGTGTGTCTGACTAAGCCTGGTGACTCCACGCTGGGATTGCTCAGGGGCAGGGAGTGGCTCTGCATGGGGGATCCCATTCCCTGGCTCTGAGATCCAGGAGGAAAACAGGAAACAAAAGCACGAGGTAAAGTTTTAGCACAGATGATTTCCAAGGATTACTCTCTTTGTTTAAGTAAAATACTTCAGCTTTTATTCTTCTCTTTGCTCTAGCACTTTCAATAATTTGCTTTTTAACACCTTTCCTGTCATCTGTTCCTTCCTCTCCTCCTTTATTTCCTATTCACTTCTGTTCTGTACTGGTAAGGAGATCAAACTGGGTTCCTGAAGCCCAGTAAATGTTATTACTGAGGGGATTCTTCTAGTAATGATCTTACAGACTGTGTGATGAGTAGGATTTGCTCTTGCCTCCTCTTATCATCAATTTATTATCTAAACCAGGAAGCCTTTGTGCAGGCTGTCTAAAAGGCCTTTTGCTTTAAGAACTTGCCAATGCAGAAAGAGCTGAGGACGCTGACTGAGTTTAACATGCTGCCCCTGCAGCCACGGGGTGCAATTTGGTTGTACCTATTTAAAACAACGCTAAAATTGTTACTTTTTATGTTGTGTGGCACTGTTATTGTCACAGGGACTCACCGGCTTTGGGCTCTGCTAAGATTTCAAAGCCCTCCTTGGAAAACAGGGCTCCACCTGCTTTTCCACTCTGGAATTCTCCAGTTCTCCAGGATGGGCTGAAGGAGAGCTGGAAGGAGACTGAAGCTGGGGTGGATCTGTGTACCGGGTCAGCTCTGAAATGCACGAATGTGTTGATTCCTGTTAATAGCCTGCTAATGACTTTCTCACATCAGCAGCTCTTCCTTAGTGCTGGTACCTCTTAAAGTGTCTTCTAAATTCTGGAATAACTCAGGGCTCAGTGTTTACCTCTGCAGCTGCTTTGGGAGCTGAGCATTCCCACTCTGGAGTGGGCAGGAGGCAGTGGTTGAAAACTCCAGGATATTTTGGCTGAAAATTGCTCAAACTCTGGAGATAGTTTGGACTAAGCTGGGTCAGGATTGAAACTGGTCTTGCACTGGTGGCACTGGGAGGGGGTTAAGCAGTGCTTGAGCTGCAGGGACTAAAGACGAGACAGTCCTTCAGTCCTTGAGCTGCTGCTGCTGGCAAAGGCTTCCTGTAATCCTGCTGTAAACCCAGAGGTGCTGCAGGTAAAGGGAAAAAAAGGATATTGGCCAGAGAGAGCTTTCAGAGGTGGGATTGAGGCTCTGCAGCCTCAGGGCACCTGGGATGTGTGGGATGGACAAACCTGGTGCTCCAGGACTTGGAGCTGCTGCAGAGAGCCCAGAGGAGGCTCCAGGATGAGCAGAGGGATGGAGCAGCTCTGCTGGCAGGAAAGGCTGGCACAGCTGGGATTGTTCAGCTGCACAGGAGAAGCTTTGGGCTGAGCTCAGGGTGGCCTTGCAGGGCCTGAAGGAGCCCCAGGAAACCTGGAGAGAGACAATTTCCAGGGCATGCAGGGACAGCACACAGGGAATGGCTCCCACTGTCAGAGGGCAGGGCTGGATGGGATCTTGGGAATGAGGAATTGTTCCCTGGCAGGGTGGGCAGGGGCTGGGATGGAATTGCCAGAGCAGCTGTGGCTGCCCCTGGATCCCTGGCAGTGCCCAAGGCCAGGTTGGACACTGGGGCTTGGAGCAGCCTGGCACAGTGGAAGGTGTCCCTGCCCATGGCAGGGATGGCACTGGGTGATCTTTAATGTCCCTTCCCAATCAAACCATCCTGGGATTCCATGTCAGTTTGGTTAAATAAGAGTTTGCTCTTCCTTCTTGTTTGCTGTTGAGTCCCAGGGCTCTGGGCTGGCTCAGCGGGCTCAGCTCGCTGTGGGAGGTGTTCCCTCAGCACCTTTCACTCAAACCAAAGTGATTTAGGCACCAGAGTGCCCCGTGTGTAGGACCTGCTGTGGCCTCAGCAGTGCTGCTGGCAGCTGTGGATGTGGCAGTGCCATCCCAGGGCTCTGTGGAGCCACAGCCACAAAAAGGCCGTGGGTTCAGGATGTGGGATGGCCACTTCTAGGGTTCCTCCTTTTTTGGGGGGCACGACAGCAAAAATTCACCCGCTCCTAAAACACCAGCACCACTGCAACCCCTGCTCCTACATGCATCCAAAAAGCAGTTCCTTGTCCTCCTGCCCTGTTCCCTGTGGTGTGTGTGACTCTGGAGTGGCACAGGGACAAGGCCAGCGTGGTGGCAGGAGGGCAGGGTGGGCTGTGCAGGCTTTGGGCTCTCATTGTCGGGGGGAAATGGAGCGAACGGCGCCGCTCGCTGCTCAGATTGCTGGGGCTGAGAGCATTTTAGGCTGCTCACACTTGCCTGGAGTTACATATTTCAGAAGGTGTTTAAATAATAATAACTCTCCAATTCCAGCTGGTCAGTCATTTGCAGAGTTCTCTAAAATTTTCAGTAATTCTAAGTGGGTTTGGTATTTCCATGGGTTGTACAGTACCAATAATTGTCGGAGAACAAGTGAAAAATAAATGCTTGAGAAATACTTTGACCAGTCTTAGTTGCTGGGTGTTGTGTTGGGGTTTTAATTGAATGTTTTTGTTGATAATCCTGCTGTTCTTCTTAATTTCTGTTGGAGTTTTCTTAAAGACAAATATGTAATAATTATAAATATACAATACAATATATAATATATGTAATATGTAATGTGTAATATGTAATATGCAATATATAGGCAGAAACTCCTGTCTTTATATCTCTTTGTCTATGGAAAATACAATTCTGTTTTTCTGAGCATATTTTAGTTGCTTGCAACAAGGTGAACCTAATTTAATTTCATCAGGCTATGAGGAGAAATTAACTTTAACATTTAGGAATTGATATGCCTTTTTAGTTCTATATCTTGTAGATTTGGGAAAATCACACAAGTTCAGTTGTGTTTTAGAAATATTGTACTGAATTTCTGTGAAAATCCAAATTTTTAAGGGCTTGGCAAAGATGGGTAACTGACAATTTTTTGGGATGATGTTAATTTTGAGATTTATTCAATGACCAGTTGAAATTTGAGTTAATACTTGCCATTTTGACACTTAGAAAGTTTTTCTAAAAGCAGATATCTGTAGAAAAGAAATCTTTGTCATGCCTGTCTTTGCTTTTCCTGTTGGAAAACTTCGTTTTCTGTTTGGATTTCCTTGGTTTAGCTCGGGGTTGAACTGAGCAGTTGTGGCTGCAGTTTAAGAAGTTTATTCTTGTTTTTTCTCCCTTTTTCAGTGTTGTTTGCTGCTGGACTCCCCCTGTCCCCACAACCCCGCAGGATGATATGAGACTTGAAAGAAGACGATGCATACAGGTGATTTATATTTACGATTTTTGCAATGAAAAATGATGGATGTTCTTGATGTGTGCTTCTTGTTGCTCTTCCATTCTCTGTCCCCCCAAAATGATGTTGTTCTAACTCAGCAGAATATTGAAGAACCTGCAGAATTTTGGAATCTTTCTTTGCCCTTTCAAAACTCTTCTGCATCTTGGAAAACTCTTCTTTTTCCAGGAAGAAAATGGTTTTCCTGAATGGAAATTTTGTTTTCAAAGTTTTTCTGGGAATGCTTCTGAAGGTGCTGATTGATATTTTTAGGAAGTTCACCCATTTTTTGCCTAATCAAAAATCCTGGAAGTGCCAAGTGTATTTGCAGTTTCAATGGATGATTTTTACTTTTGCTGGAAATACAGTTCATATTTCAACAGGGAAAATCACCAGCAGTAGAAATAGAATAAAAGTGAATTTGTCCAAGAGGGTTGGTCTAATTTTTTATACCCAAATGCCCTTATTTCAACCAGATTTTTGGTTTGCTTGTTCAGCTTTAAACCCCAGGAATCCTTAGGGCTGGAAATAAAAAAGAAAAAAAAAAAGCCAGGCAGATTTCCGTGTGCATGCAGCTCATCTCCTGATTGACAGTTTTCAGTTGCATCAGCTGTTGGTGCATAAACAGCTTTGGAGGGTCTGTTTACATGGAGCCTTTGGATTAGGACCAAGATGCTGGAAGTGGAGATTTCATTCCCTGAAAACCAAACATCGCTCATTCCACTCCCATGTTTGTGAGTTGTGTGCTGAAAGCTCAAGTCAAAGCAGGTCTAAAGAATTCTAAAATTAGGTTGGGCAAAGGAGAGGAGAAGGAAAAACTTCTCCAAAGGGATATTTCATTTTCATATTTCATTTTCGATGTCTTAATCTAGAGGAGCGGCATTAAAAGTGTAGAAAATTGATGTCCCATCAGATTTGGGGAGCTCTGTGTAGTAGGCAGTGATAGATTAAAATAGAACCTAAATATTGAGAAAATGTTTTGAAAGCTTTAAAAATACTCATCCCACAACTGAAAGGAGAGATAATGTTATGAAATTGTACCTTATGTATGACAGTGTTTGAGAGAATTCAGTTTCACATTGCAATACATTAATCTGATTTAAAACTTCCAATTTAAGCACTTTCAGTTTTGGTCAGAATTTCTGATGGTGTTGAGCTTGTTAGAATTATGAGCTTGCAGAATTGAAATGGATACAAGATTTTGAAATTTAAGTGGTAATTCTGTCTCCTGCAGCCCAGATTCTTTATTTACAAGTCCCTTGATAAATACAGATGAAAATGAAGGACAAAGACCTTTATGCCTCTGATGTGTTGGAAGTTAAAGAACTCAGATTTATTTGCAGTTTCTGTTTATTTAGGAGAGCCAGGCTTGGTGTGCTGAGGTTCTGAGGATGAACAATATTTGCAAGCCTTAAAATGAGACCCTGCCCTGTGATAATTTTGTGGTGCAGTGACAGGAGGAGTAATTTGGTGACTGCTGATCTTGGTCTCAAGTTCAGAGTGACTGGGGAGAGCTCAGGCCTGAAATTGAAAGGTTTTGTGGTTCTTCAGGATGGCTCTCTTGCATTTTCAAAAGGTTTCTTGAGGGTGATTGATCAGAAGTGCCTGGTAACGTCTAAACTACCTTTGGTTAAAGGGGGGAAGCTTCTACAGGGTCAATAAATTCTTTGTTTTAATGGGCTTCACTTCATTGTCCTGGAACCTGCTCTGAAGCCCTACAATTAACACAGCAGAACTGGGGAAACAATCCCCTAAAGAAGATTTTTTCACTTCTGCCATGGAATACTTTAATTTTAGATCACCACTTAGGCTGAAAACACAGAAATGTATTAAGGTCCACTGCTTTTTAAAAAAAAAAAAAAAAAGAGAAAGTGAAAATTTGAAGAAATGGGGATATTAAATGCTGTTTTCCAGTTTGAATCACCAGGAGAGCAAACTTGCAACACATTGAACTTCTCTTTTTGCCCTGTATAATATGTGGGACACCCAGCAAAAGGATAATTTAAGGTGCTTTTTGGAGAAGTGAAAGATTTTCAGTAATTTTATTGAAGAGCTGGAGCAGGGGATCCAGTACACCCTCAGTCAGTTTGTGGGCAACACCAGTTTGGGCAGGAGTGTGGATCTGGAGAGTTGAAGGTTCTGCAGAGGGGTCAGGACAGGATCCATGGGATGAGGCCAGGAGGGTGAGGGTCAGCCAGGCCAAGGGCCAGCCCTGCCCTTGGGTCACAACAACCCCAGGGAGCTCCAGGCAGAGCCCTGGGAAACGATCAGAAACCTGTGGATGTGGCACCTGAGTTCGTGGTCTGGAGATGACGAGGCAGAGTTGAGTAATGGTTGGACTTCGTTGGTCTTAGAGGTGTTTTCCAGCCTTAATGATTCTCTGATTCCCTGGTTACCTGTGGAGTTTTTAGAATCTGTTCTGCTTTTCCCTAAAACAGTGCAATAAGGAAGCTGGGGTTCAGCTCTTTATAGGAAAAGCCAAGTTTGTATTTCAGTCATGTTGTGATAACACAGTAGTACCTTAGAATGTGATTAAAAAGTGTTTTCAGAATGGGAATTTTTCACTTCTTTGTCTTTTGCAAGTCTTTCCAGGACCTTTTGGGAAAGCAAGGAACCAAACACTTCTGGGTGTAGTTAGGCTGGTGATCAATCACCCTACCCATATTCACTTCTCATGGTGTGTTGGCATCAAATTTGGGATTGTGCTGGGTTCCTACAAGCAGGGATTCATCTTGGTTAAAAGTTGGTGTTTCCAGTTGGTGTTTCTGCTATCCCTTGTCCTGCTCCTGTGTAACTCAGTGATTGGTTGTTCTTTCTTTTTCCCTCTTTTTTAATGGAGATTTCTTATAAAAATAATTTGATTTTATAACAGCTTTCTGGTTTTGAGTTTTGTAGTCATGCTGGAGGCTAAGGAATATGGATCTAAAAATACTGAGTTGTCTGATTTTTAAGCTTTTGAAGAGCTCAAAGCTTATTTTTGTAACCTTTTTAAGAAAACAGAGTAACATAATGGTTACAGCAAATTATTCTCATCAACGTGGAGTTATCTTGGATGCACCAGAGATGTTGAGAACCAAGGAAATGTGATAATGCTGTAGTGAGGTTTGTAAGACATTGGAAGTGCTTATATTGCTCTTAATTTTATAAAAAATTGTCATTTTTGGAAAAGAGAAAAAGCCAATCCAATACTTTTCAATAAGGATACTGCAAGAGCAGTGAAATAGTCAGTTCCCACACAGGTACTCTCCTCCCCCAGCTGTATTCCATATTAAAATACAACAAATCCAGAGGGATTTCTGGGGAGTTCCTGGGCTGGGTTTAGGGCCTGCAAGTGTCCAGGTGTTTATTTTATGGAAGAATACAATGGAAGTGGAGAATTGGGCCATGGCTCTCACATCTCCTATTTCATGTTGCTGATTTAATTGAGCCTGTAGCTATTTTAAAAGATGTTTTTATATGTCAGTAGTGAAAAAAAAAACCCACAAACCAAAGCAGAAAACCTCTCTGTTGTTGTGCAGTCAGAACAAAGTGTGTCTCTGGTGTTTGGAGCTCACCTGTGTTACCTGAACTGGCTCAGCCACAGCCACTGGAAGATTTACCAGGAAAATCCAGAAATTTCTGGGCCAGCGCTGAGTTATCCCTCCCCTGGATGTTCCTGTGGCAGTGGAGACGCTGGCCCTGAGGTGGCCAGGTGACCACTGAGGTGACTGCACACCTGGAGGGTCCAGTTGGTGGCAGAGAAACAGGTTTGGAAAGAGCAGAACAGGTCCAGGTGCTGATTCCCTGCTGGGGCACAGCGTGGCTCCCACTGGTTTTATTTCTGGTTCCAGCTGGATTCTGGCTGGCTGGGTCCTCCCAGGGAGTTTGTGGTGGATGTTCAGCTCCTGGCTGAGCAGATCAGCCCAGAAGATCCCACCCAAATCATGTCTGAGACAGAGCTGCTCAAGTTACAAGTTTGAAATACAAGCAGCTAATGAGGCCTTGGATATTCCTGGGGTGGTATTATTATTATTATTATTATTATTATTATTATTATTATTATTATTATTATTATTATTTTCCTTGACTATTCCTGGGATTAACCCCTGGTTTTCCATGGATAAATCAGTCCCTTTGCAGCAGGGCTTGGTGCTGGTTTTGGGAGTTTTTGTGCCAAAGGAGTGCTCCTCAGACTGCAAGTGGAAGTTCTGCTTTTCAGAGATGGAGTCATTGACCTCAATGAATGATAACCTTGAAATCAACAGACTAAATTAATGCTCTACTTTCTGAATTTGAGAGCAGCAATGTGAAAACCTGGACAGCTAAAGTTAGATTCGTGCATCCATATTTAAGAAGTTGCCTATTTAAAAGAAAAGGGTTTTTTTTCCCCTCCTCCAGAATGGCTCAGTACCTGTGATATTGAAAATTGAAGTTTTCAGCCTCAGCCCCCATCTAAGAGGAATCAAAAATCCTGCTTCAGGATTTTGGCATAGAATTACATCCTGGTGGAAGATGCTGCTTTCCTTATTCAGGAACAGACCAGAGCACCTAAACCAGAAAATCTTTAGATGCTACTGTTCTTATATATAATTCTAATACTGTGGAAAAGTAATTTCTGTTCATTTTGCTTCCCAAAACATATGCCCCTCTGTTTAAAACCTGTTGAGGTAACTTCCAGTGAAGTTTTAAATTGTGAGATTTTTTTATTGCAAGACTGAAATTTATTTCTGTTGCTGATTTCTAAGAGCAAAGAAAAATTTATTTTGAACAAAACCAAATTAAAATTCAAATCAAAAATTGCAGTAATATCTATTAAAAATTATTTCCCTTTTCCTGAGTGATTGGTCAGTACCCTGAGAATGCCTGAGGTCTGTAATGAACATAATGCTGGAAATGCAGAGGTTTTTCTGCAGCTTTTAAAGTCAGTGTTCAGGGTGGGAACAAAAAGGAAAGGTTCTCTTGGGCAAGGCAGCAGTGAGTTTGGAGCTGCTCACGGGATCTCAGAATTGTGC